TAGAAGAGTCTCTATATATCGTTTTTTTCCGAGGTGGATGACGCGGCACATGACACAAAAAGGCAAACACGAAACATGAACATAGACATGCTGCCGCAGCCGCGCGGCTCAAGGGCCGCACCGCACCCGCGCCGCCGCGTCCACAAGGCCCGGGGCGCGCACAGGCCGCGCGGACACACCCCCACGCGCGCACAGACACACACGCATCCATCGCCGCGCGCAGACGCAGACACGCAGCGCGCGCAAAGCACATCGGCCCGCGAGCCCTCTTCGGAGGGAGGGAGAGAACCTCTTCGGAGACAGGCGCGCCAAAGCCCTTTTCGGAGGGAGCCTCTTCTGAGGCTGGCGCGCTAGGATCCCTCTGCCAAGGGAGCCTCTGCGGAGGCAGCCCTCTTTGGAGGGAGCCTCTGCGGAGGCAGGCATTGCAGAGCCCTCTTCAGAGGAGCCTCTTCGGAGGAGCCTCTTCGGAGGCACGCAGGGCCCTCTTCGGAGGGAGCCCAGATAGACGCAGGCGTGCAGCGCAGGGCCCTCTCTGCGTAAAGGGACCTCTTCGGAGGAAGGCCAGGCCCGGTGCTCTTCGGAGAAAGCTCTGCTGGGCCCGCTTCGGCAGGATTCCGCGGCGCGCAACAATCGAACCCTGCCCGCGCCACGCACAGACGCGCGCCACGCACGTTTTCTTCCTTTTTTTCGCTTCTTGTTTTTTTTTCTTTGTGTCCGGCCAGGTCGTGCGGCGATGGCCACGCGCAAGCGAGAGGAGCGGAAGAAGAGGAGCCGCTCGCGACACAGGCGGCGCGACCGCAGAAGACGACGCGCAGAGTCGGAGGAGGAAGAGAGCGTCGAAGAAGAGGAGTCAGGCGACGCGAAGGAGGCCGCGGGCTCCGGCGGCGCAACCGCGAGGGCGGCAAAGCTGATGCCCAGAGCCGCCGCAGAAAAGGCGAAGAGCTCATCGTCCTCAGAAGAAGAGTCCTCTGCGGAGGACTCAGCGGACAAGGCGGGGGCGCCCGCCGCTTCCAAGGACGTCAGGGTGCTGGCAGAGCCTGCGTCGCCGCCCACGTCCGCCCGAAAAGAAGACGAGAAGGGCGGCAAGGCCGAGAACTACTGCGGCACGTGCTGGCGATCTGTGGGCGGAGGACGCAGCGGCATGGCCACGCACGAGAGGAGCGCCAAACACATCGCTTGGCTGCTCGTCGGTGAGCAGCCAAAGATGTCGTGGGCGGAGGCGATGAAGACTGCGGAGAAGCGCTCGCAGGAGCTCTGGGCGGAGAGCGGATATACGTATCCGGAGAAGACTCCTCGGAGTCAGTCCCGGGCAGCTCCTCGGAGCAAGTCCGCCAAGGGCGGCAAAGGCAAGCAGGGCAAGCAGAAGGCGCGCCGCTCCACGACGCCGGATGATCCGCGAGATCGCCGGCAAGAGCGCAAGGACCCGCCACCCGGACCCGACGGCAGCGGGCCGGGAGAGAGGGAGCGTCTTCTGACGAGCCTGTGGGAGCGCACGCTCCGTGCAATACAGGAGTATTGACACGGACTGCGCCACACGCGCGCCGCGGCGCACTGAGCGGCGACCGCGATAGCAGCTGACGGTTTTTGGACTGTGAGAAAAGTTTTCTTTTTTTGGCGCGCGCGACGCGTCGACGCGGGCGCTTGTCACGCGCGGTGTATATATCACGAGCCAGAATATATAGCGATATGGATGTCCACAATTGAGTATACTTCAATCCAAATCAAGGGTTACGTCACAAAAACCAGGTCAACCATTTTAGAAATGGTGTGTATATATATATATAGATATATGGGCGCGTATAAGTGGCGCGGACAAATAGACATATATCATCGCGCGTCCGAGACTTTTTTCCACGCCGGCGCCTGTGGTTGTATATAGCAACGTCCGGGCGGAGCCATGAACGTTGTGGGCTCTTGTGTTTGGGACGATGACTCCCTGCCCGACTTTGAGTCTGAGCACAAGAAGCGGAAGCATGAGCATGCGGCGGCTGCGACCGGCGCACGCAGAGCACCTGAGGAGGATGTGGTCAAGTGGGTGGTGGACACCAAGTCTGGTCAGAAAATTCCTTTTGCGCAGTCTGCGCAAAGCGGTCTGGTGCACTGCGGACGCGTGATCATGCACATCTGTGGCACGGTTGAAAAGAAAGAAGTTCAATGCGAAAGCTGCCTTTTGGGCGATTGTGCTTGTTGCGGATGTGTGTGCCACGTCCTGCAGCAGCACTATAGTTCTCGCGCCTGCGGGGCGACCCTGTTGCAAAGTGAGTCGCAGGGTTGACTTGTCGCGAAGCGAAAAAGTGCATCTGTGAAACCCTCCGCGGATGTCCGGATTTTGTCCGGATTTGTCCGGAGGATTTCACATTTCTAGGGTCCCGACACGCACGTCATTTATTCCCAATAAGAGAGGATGTCCGGAGATGTCCTGACGTGTCCGGACGTGTCCGGACATGTCCGGACATCTCCGGAGAATTCGGTGATTTTCGTGTGTTCGTTCGATAGCATTTTCGTGTGTTCGCTCGTAGCTTTGGTTGGCTCAGGCGATTGTTTCCCCGCGCGCGCGTCGGTCTGTGTAGCGGCCATGGAGAAGATGGTTTGTTCCTTCTGTGGGCAGGAGTCTGCGGACTGCAAGCGCGATGGTCGCAAAATCTGGCGCCGAAGCTGCGTGGCCGCGGACAAGATGCTCCGACGCCACATGGGTGGTTGGCCCACAGTTTCGGACGGAGAAAAGAAAGACTTCTTCAGCAAAGCCCTGCAGGCCAAAGACCCAAACGGTCGCGTCACCTGGACATGCCTGCGGGGCGTGCTCAAGGAGTGCATGGCCAAGCGCGCAATGATGCGCACGTCCGTGGACATCACAGCGCCCTTCAAGCCCATGGCGTACTGGACGTCTCAAGGGTACACTGAGGAAAGAGTCCGCGGTTGTCCCTGTGAGGAGGACCCGCAATTGGGCACATTGTACCAAGTGCACACGAAGACTATCTCCAGGGCCAAGATCGAGGAGGAGGTCGAAGAAGAACTGCTCATGCGTGAGCAGGCAGCAAACCAGAAGAAGAGCCAGAAATCTACTGCGTCTGCGGACACATGGCACGTGCCGGAGGCAAGTGCGGGCGAAAGCAAAGGGAAGAGCGCCGCAGCGGAGCAGCGGGCATTGGAGCGCTCGCAGGCCAAGCGCGAGCGGGAGAATGCCGCAGCATCTGCTTTGGCGGGCAAAGCAGTTGCTCTGCTACAGCCCAAAGTGCAGCAGGCGCAAAAGCTGCTGGATAGCCACAGTTCCAAGCTGCCCCGTGAAAATGTGGCAGAGTTGGAGGTCGCCGTCAAAGAACAAGGGGAGTGGCTCGCAGCAGCGCGCGCGACGGTGGCTGCATTCGGCCGGGATCCTGCGGGGGCCCTGGTGCCCCTGCCATTCGACGCCAACGGTCTGAAGAGCGCCGTGACCGCAGGGACCAGTATGTTGAAGTCGGCGCGCCTGCAGCTGCCGAAGAAAGAAACGAAAGAGCGAAAGAGCAAGGCTGCGCCGCAGCCGCAGAGCGCAGCCGAGCCATCCAAGCGGCGACGCGCGGGGAAGCAAAAGGAGACCTGATCTGAGAGCCATCATTGGCCTTATAGACCGTTTTTGGCCCCGCGCGCTGGGGGACGCGCGCAGGGACGGCAGCAGGAAAACAATGCGTCACTTTTTTTCTCCTTCGGGCGGGGGTCGAGGCGAAACGCGCGTCACGAGTGCCTCCGCAAGCATTTGGGCCCGCAGCTATATACACGCAGGACATGACCTTGCACGCCAAGGAAGTCGAGTTGCGCCTATTGCGCGCCAGACTCTTGACCATAGAGCTGGAAAACAAAGATGAAGAAGTGGCCAAAACGCACCAGTGCTGCAAGGCAATCTTGGAGGAGTGCGGTATCCAATACTGCACGCTGCCGCTGTGGACAATGGCCATCGCGTGCGAGGGCTACTTCTGCGAGCAGGAGCGCCCGAGAGGGAACGTGCGACCAATCGACCCAGAGAAGCTCCCATCACCGAAGTCATGGCGCGCCATGTTCTTCTTGGAGGAGCAGAAGAAACGAGACTTGGATCGCTTGTTGCGCGACGCCATGAACGTGGTCCATGACCTGATCATCTTGAGCGGTCCCACTGACTATCAGCTGCGGCGCATCAGCACAGATATTCTGTTCTGTAAAAAAAATGTGGGTCTGTTGATCAGCGCAGTCTACCGCCTAGACAGCACGATCGGTCTAATCGGGCCACTATGAGGGAATCACCTCGGATCAGGCATTTATATAGGAAAAAGATACGTTTCTTTTTTTTGGGGGGGGGGGGGGGGGGCGCGGGGTTGTGTGGCTGGACTGCGCGACCGTTGCATGGCTCACGCAGGGGGATATAGATGTATATAGGTGCGCGGGGTTTCGACGCCTATATACAGACCACCCATGGTGCTCAGCAAGAGGTGCAGGTTGCGGGAGGACGACCGGGAAAAACTCATGGAAGCGGCCAAAGTACCTGGCGTGAGTGTTCGCACCATGCACAAACTTTGGAACATTTTCCATGATCAGAAGAAAAGGAAAATATCCTGGTCTACGTGCCAAAGAACTTTGCAGAGGGAGAAAGCACCGCTACGCCAGTGTTTTGACACACTGACTCTTCCAGGCAGGCCTGGTCGCAGGGACGCGGTGTTGCTCGTGGCAAATTTGCCAAATTTGCTGCGCCATATGCTGGACCGTGCGCTGCAGCTGGCAGACCTCTGGGGAGAAAACACGTTGTTGCAGCCTGTGCTTTACCACGACGAAGCGCAGGCAGGCAACATCCTGTCTCTGCAGAAGCTAAAAAAATGCTCCTTGTTCTACCTGACGTTTGACATATTCTTGCCTCTCTTCGGAGACACCGCGGCATGGCTGCCGGTGGCAGTGCTACCAAAAGAGGAGCTGAACCAAATAGAAGGCATTGGCTGCGCGATCGCTGCGGCGGTCAAGCACTGGCAAAATTTCCACGGGAGCAGAGTCACCGGCTTGAAGCAGACCATCCACCTTGCGGCCCACTGGAAGGTCCTGCTGGACGGCGACGCTCTCCGTGGAACTTTTGACCTGAAAGGTGCCGGCGGGATTCGGCCATGCATGCTTTGCAGCAATGTTCTTAAGGCGCACAGCAGAGTCGACGACGACCTGTTTTGCGAGATCTCTGAGTGGAGAAAAGAAAAATTTCTCACTCTCACAGACCGGGAGATCTTCGCGCAAGCCGACGCGCTCAAGGTCATAGAGGGCAAAAAGGCGATCCAGGCCTTTGAGAAGTCTTGTGGCCTACGCAAAACGTTGCGTGGCGTGTTGATGGACCCTGTGGCAAGGGAACTGCTGCCGCCAAGCCAAGCAGCAGTAGATTGCATGCACCTCTATTTTGTGAACGGCTGCGCGAATTTTGAGTTGGCGCTTCTCTGGCAGGCTATAAACGCCGCCCTACCGCAGATGACGCACCATGCCCTCAAGCTCTGTTGTTTGGAAGCCATGTGGCAAAGACCTTGGTCAAGTGGCCACAAAGGTCCGTCCCTCTTTGGAGAACTCTGGAGTGAGCACGCCTGGCACGCAGAACAGTTCAAAGGTGAGGCGTGGGCAACTTCGATAGTGGTGCCTTTGCTGAACTACTACCTGGACAAGTTCGTGCGCCCGCGCGGGGTTTGCCCGGACGCCACTCGTTCGTTCGAGTGCCTGGCTTTGAGGTTTCGCTGGGCTCCCATTGCAGATTGGCAGGAAGTGAAAGAACTGGATGCTTGGTCACACGTGCGCCAACAATGCTTTGTGCGCTGTTATTCAGCGGAAGCCTGCAGGCCGAAGCATCATTGGCGTCTGCACTTGGCTGAGTGGGCCATGATGCTCAAGTTCATGCCATACTGTGAAAGACATGAGTCCAAGCATAGAACCTTCAAGTCTGGTGGATGTGGCGACCGCGAGGCACACCACGTGCACAATCCCAGTGTCTACGCGTCCAATGTGCTCAGCTCACTGCTACTGATGCAGTTTGACGGGAGCGATCTGACACCATGGAAATTACATACGCCAGTTGTGTCGGCGCCAGACTTGCGCGGCTCGCAACAATCAGACGGCGTGCGGATCTGGTCCACAAATGTGCGCAAAGGAGATATACTCCTCTTGGATGTCGGCGCTCGCGCTGGCATGATGACAGGCGCCGTCTGCCGCGACGCTGCGCCCTTCATTGAATACGTGAACCTGCGTCTGACCTCTCGCGAGACATATGGAGCCATCTTCGAGCGGGAGCGGACCTGCAAGCGCACTTTGCGCCAAATCGACCTGAGCGGCTCTTTGCAAATGCCTGTATGGTGGTCATGGGCCGGTGACAAAGTCACTTGCTTGTTTTAGACATGAAATGGGCTGATCGCGGATGCAAAAGTGTTCGATTACCTTGAATAACGAGAAAACTAGAAAACCTTGAAAAAACAAGCCGGTGGAAGTTAGGGAAGATATGAACTTAGGGCTAACTTATATAACTTAAGTTAACATAGTTAACGCTAACTTAGATATAACTATAGTTATAACTTCTGATCCTCCTCGTAGGATGACATGCCCCAGGACTTCCGCCTTCAAGGTCTTGTCTTCATCGGACAAGTTCGAATCTAGCGCCACAAAGGCGAACTGATCCCGCAAGGTCCGAACCAGGCCCAAGTTCCAACCCGATCATAGGCTTCCAGGATAGTCTCGGCCTTCAGCGTGACTCGATCCAGGTCCTCAGTCTTGACATCATGCCCCAAATTTTCAAGGCCATGACCATGTGACTCTAGCCAGAAGCGCTCCCATATCCTCCTGATCCGGCCGGAACAACTGATGCAGCTGCTTCAGCAGCTCATCAACATCAGCTGCCCCAGTCCCAGCTGAGGACGGGCGAGGACCCGAACCTCCGGTCCGTGGCAACAGTGGCAACATCAGCGGCGCCGCCTTACTTGCAGCCGCGCGCTCAGGCGCTACTACGGCAGGACCCCGAACGATTTCGAGCTCAAAAGACTCCTCATCTTCCTCATCGTCGTCCTCCTCGCTATCCTCTTCACCGTAGTACTCTGCCATGATGGCCTTCCACAAAGCCACCTCCTCATCTGTTCTCATCCCGCGCCCATCTCTTTTCCTGACTGGGCGCTTGCCTTCCTTCCGTCGCCAAACTTGCCACTTCGGGAAGGTCATCTTGTCTGGCACCGGGACGCGACCATCCGCTATGCATTCCGATAGGGTCACGCCCTCAGCTTCTCCAGCAACTTCCTTGCTCATGGCGCGTCTCTCACAGACCGCTGCCCTTCCCAGAACAGCCCCCCAACTGCGAGCAAGGCTAACTGGTCTTGGGAGTCTATCCAAACACAGCAGCCTAACTGTTTCTTGCTCGTGAGTTCAGCAGTCGGTGAGACAGTGCTGGAGGCTGCTTGGTCTACCTCCGTGCACAACAGCTTAATGAGCGCTTTGCCCACTTGAGCCAAAACAAGCATAGTGAAACAACTATACAAACATGCAAAGACAAAATGCAAAAGGCTGGTAGGGACGCTCACAAGTAGTAGTAGTAGTAGTAGTAGTAGTAGTAGTAGTAGTAGTAGTAGTAGTAG